TGTTATGAGCATTTCCATTATGTGGATTGGCATGTGGGTTATGATGTACATGTGGGTTATGATGTACATGTGGATTATGATTGGCATTTGGATTATTATGAGCATTTCCATTGTGTGGATTGGCATGAGGATTATGATTAACATGTGGATTATGATTGGCATGTGGATTATGATGTACATGTGGATTATGATTAGCATGTGGATTATGATGTACATGTGGGTTGTGATGTACATGTGGATTATGATGTACATGAGGGTTATGGTTAGCATGTGGATTATGATTAGCATGTGGATTATGATTTACATGTTGGTTATGTGGGTTTTTTATTTGATTCTGTATTTGTTGTGGGTTACTGGTATGAATATGGGGTTTTTGGTTATGAGGATTGGGATTTAAATTGTTTAATTTGGTATCAATAGGGTTGGGATTGGGTTTAATATTAGGATATACAACAGTTGGTGAATATGAATAAACACTAAAACTAGATAAAATAATTATTATTAATAGTAGTAAAATTTTCATTTTTTATTTTATTATTCTAATGAGAAATTAAATTAAAAAAAATTAAGGTGAAATAAAAAGGTATAGAGAGAAAATAAAATAAATGTGAAAAAAATAATAATAATTTATTTATTTTTGTAGTTTCGAAATAACATACATTAACACACATACACACACATATTATTACATGTAAACAAAAAAATTTCATTGATTTCCCCCTAAATTTTTTGGGTTGTTTTTTATTTTATTTTTATTTTATTCGAAATTTTTTTTTCTTTTTATTTTTTTAAAAAATAATGTTATATCACATAAAATCATTTTTTGTGTAAATAGAGACTATTAATAAAAAAGGTGTGCTATTTAATTTTTTATATTTTAGATTGTTGAGTGATTTTATTATATATATGGTTTATAAGAATTATATTTAAATTTTCAAGAAATGAAAAACAATAATAATATCGTTATAACTATATTATGATTGATTTTCAAAGAAAGGTGGTATTAGATTTTTTAAAATATCTTTTATATTTTTTTCTTTTTTTTTTTTTTTTTTTTTTTTTTTTTTATTTTCAAATTTTTTCATGTATAAATAATTATACTTTTTGTTCAATTATTTTTATATTCATATTTTTTGTTTCATTTCCTTATATACAATAATTGTTTTGTATTTTTAAAAAATGAAAATATTAATAGCCTTAGTTTTAATTTTTTATATGTCAGTTAATGTAAGGTCACAGTTTACTCCAACAGGATTCCCAAATAATGTTTTATCATCTTCGTCACCATGGAATACACCAATAGGCTCTACCCCAACAGTTGAACCATTGTCAAGCCAAATGATGCTCAAGGTTAAGAATGCAATGATTTCTGAGTCATATAATCCAAATCTATATTTACATTACTTTCAATGGACTGCTCCATTGCATAATATCAACACTGCTAACCCAGTAAACCGTATTACTGTTATTCAGTCACAGGGTGAGGGTTTCCACGAAACAGTCGACCCATTAAATACAAAGAAAATCACCAATTTACCTGTAGATTTCTCATTTAAACCAGACCCAATGAATGATGGCCATATGATTGTATTTGATACCAATTTAAAAGTATTCCACGAGTTTTCCAGATTTAAGTGGATAAACTCAACTCATGCTAATGCTACTAGATATGATACATTTGCTTACAATGTTGACGGTACCTATCCAGCATTTGTTTCTGGTACAAGATGGTGGATGAAAGGTGTAAGAGGCAGTGGCGCACCATTTATTGCTGGTAACTATTTTTAAACTTTAAATCATTGTGTATATATATAGTTATACTAATATGGCACTTGTCTAGGTTTAATTAGATGGGATGAAATCCAAAGAGGCGAGTTGAATCATGCTCTAGCTGTTGGTAGTTTAGTAAACAGAATGAAATCATCAACTTCATCATCATGGTCATACGAATTATGCTCACCTGTTTCAAGTAGAACTGATGGATGGGTTGTTGGTGCCGATACTATAATGGAAGGTCAACGTATTCAATTAGATCCAAATTATGATATTTCAGCATTCCCACCAAAATCTAAATTAGTATTACAAGCTCTTAAAACCTATGGTGGCTATGTCGTCGATAATTCTGGTACATTTGGTATTTATTTCCAAAATATGAATACCGATGGAGTTGCCACAAACTCACCATGGTACACACAATTGGGAGCTGATTTAACATCATTATACGATGTTCCAATCGATGCTTTTAGAGTTCTTAGTTGTTCAAATGTTTCAACAAAATAAAAAAATTAAATAAATAATATCTTCTATATAGTGGTATTAGATAAATATCTTTTTTATAATTATTTTTCATTTTCCACTTTTATTTTAAAAATTTAAAAAAGGAACATTCTTTTATTTTTTTTTTTTTTTTTTTAATTTTTTTTTAATTTTTTTTTTTTTTTTATTTAATTTAAAAAATTTTTTTAAAATTTTTTTATTTTTATTATTTTTTTATATCTTCAACAAGATACAGAAATTCATATAGGTTCGTCATCTTTTATTAAGATCTACAATTACAATAGTTGGGTGAATGAATACTAGTGGTTTTATTAAGTTATAACCCAGTACTCCATTTCGTTGTAGAAAAAAAAAAAACAAAAAAAAAAAAAGATGGCAAAAAAGAAAGTAAATACATTATTATATATAATAGGGTAAGATATCGAATAGTCATAAAATAAAATATTTAAATTAAACACACAAATATAGAAACAGTTCAGATTGACTAATTTATATATATTTTGATATTACAGGATAATATTGTATTTTTTAGGTATAGCATCAATTTATTATTATCCAAAGAATGCAAATAATACGTATTTATCAGAGAATGCATTAATGCCAGGTACAGCAAGAGTAACCTTTGATTATAGCGATGGCTCAAAGATTACACAATATTCTAATGACTTTTTAGTACATATTAGTCAATATAACAAGAGATTTACTGATGGCACAGTTGATCCTTTCAAGAGATCAAAATCATGTTCAGAATGGATAGTTTCTCAATTAAAGGAAATGGGCTTAGAGGCATATATTCATAAATACAATTTAAATCAAAATAGTTATTCCAATCATTATTTTAATCAAAGCTTAGGCGAAGAGGGTTATAATGTTTATGCTGTATTAAGAGCACCCAAATCTGATGGTAGAGAGTCAATCGTTATTTCTGCATCTTTCAATTCATCCGAGGATACAAATATCGTCAGTAGTACTGGTCAAACTACAACCGAGTCGTCTGTTGGTGTAGCATTAACTTTATTCCAATATCTTTCAAAGAAGGGCAACATTTGGTTAGCTAAAGATTTAATTTTAATCATTTCAGACTCTTACATAAATAATATTATTAGCGATAGTAACAGTTTTGTAGCTGGTAGTAGTGCTGGTGCCAATAACAACATTGGGTTAAAATCATGGTTACACGACTATCATGACACTTCAATCGACTCAAATTCAAACTATTTCCCACGTGCAGGTTTAATTCAAGCAGCAATTAACATTGAAGCAAATAGCAAAAAATATATAAATGACCGTATCTATGTATTAGCAGAAGGTTCAAATGGTCAATTACCAAATTTAGATCTCATCAACACTATTGGCAGATTGGCAAAGAGAGAGGGCTATTCAAAGGGAATCGAATTATCAGCTACAGATAACAATGATCAACTCTTTATAAATCATTTACCATCCGAAATTAGAACTCTTGGAAAATTTATGTTAAATCAAGCTATCGGTATTCCAACTGGAGATCATGGTCAATTTAATAAGTATCATATCGATGCCGTTACTCTTGGTGTATCTGGTAAAAGTTCAACATTGGGATCAAGAGTTTTAATTGGTACAATTCGTAGTTTAAATAATCTATTAGAGAAATTCCATCAATCTTTTTATTATTATTTATTACCATCACCATATCTCTATGTATCAATTGGCGAATATATGATTTCATTAGGTTTAATTATAGCTCCGTTAGCATTCAGAGTGGTTTATTTATTGGTTTCATTATCAAATATTTTTACATCACCAACTTTATTCACTGTCAACAAAAAGAAAAAAACCGATGATGATGGCGACGAAAAACCAATAACCGATCAAAAACCACAAAAAAAAAGAAAAAATTTATTTGAAAAATTGGGTAGTTTTAAATGTTTAGATTCACCAAAAGATATTATATACTCTGTTTCAATAAATACAATTTTTCAATTAATTGGTATTGCTCTTTTTTCAATACCTCAAACTTTTACAAATACAACAACAAACATTTTAAATTATTTAATCAATGTAAGTAAACACATATTAATATTTTAATATTGTATAAATATAAATAATTTAAATACTAATATTTTAATTTAATATAATTAAATAGAATGAAATTATTGGGTTATTTGGGTTGTTTGGAATATTTTATATTATTATATTTTTAGTTTTAATTCCAATAATAGATCACATGTTTTATAAAAATGAATCAATTATTACATTATCAGAAAAAAGATTAAAACAAAAGTCATTAAAAAATAGTAATAACAATAATAATAGTATCAATAATAACAACAATAGTAACCAGTTATATAGTATCCAAAATCATTTAAAAACAGAATCAAACAGTTATTTTGTATTTGGTAATTTACCATTATTAATATTCATTGCCACAGTATCATTATTAAATTTCTCATTTTGTACACTTGCAGCAGTACTTTCAATCCCATTGTGCTTTATTTCGCTACTTGGTAAATGTAGTGCCGATTGTAATTCAGTTGTTAAATTATTCAGAAAAACTATTGTCTTTATTTTGTTGTTATGCTTCTCACCACCAGTTATATTCTATTTATTCTCTCACTTTGTTTTAAATCAAAATGTTTTCGTTTTATTATCGACCATCATCCAACAATATGACCAATATTCAAATTTATTTTTCCCATTTTTAACTTTGGTTTATATTCCATTGAATTTATCAATTTTAAAAATAAATTTATAAATAAAACTAAAATAAAAAATAAAAAAATAAAAAAATAAAAAAATATATACCTATTTTCTTTTTTATTTAAAAAAACTATATTTTAAATTCTTTTAATAAGGATTTATTTAATTTAGTTTTATAATCTGTTTGTTTATTAAATAGTTTACTGAATCGTTAATAGATTTTGTAAAAGGAGTTAACGATTCATTTATAAGTTTGGAACCTTTTGATACTAATGTATAGTGTGGCATTTTGGGTAAAGTTTGGTCAGAAAAAATGTTTTGGGTTATGATTAAGGAGGGGAATTGGGATTTTATAGTGTCACTGACTTCTTTAAAGGATCGTGATCGATTAGAATCACCTACTAAAATTCTTTCCATGTGTAGTGATTGTTTCGATTCTAAAGCATTGATAAAGTACTTAACTGCATCCTTTATATCAGCCATAACAATAGTTCTACAATAGTACATTGGGTCTTGTGTTTTATCAGCAATAATTTCTTTGAGATTATTTAAAAAGAATGAGCAACTATTAGATGGAAAATTATCAATGGGAGCACCTGTTATCAAAGGTGGATTGATTCTTATCACTTCGAATTTTATTTCATCTTGGTGAGCAGCTACAAAATCAATACATGCCTTCTCTGATAAATATTTACTTTCTACATATTGAAATGGTAATCCCTTTCCATCGAACCAATCTTCGTTTGTGAAGACCTCTTGAACCTGTAATTCATTAACAATAGTTGCCGTTGATGATATCATTATTACTTTCTTTATTGTTGACTGGTTATTCAAAGCTGCTTTTAATAAATTTAAATTACCTTCAATTGCTGGTTTGAAAAGATCATTATATATATCATCTGGATACAATACAAATGGTGATGCTGTATGAAATACTGCATAGGCACCTTTAAAACAATTATTATAGCATTCAAAATTATAGCCACTACCCAAATCTCCACATTCCTCAATTAAAAGTCTTTCATCTGCCCCTTCCAAATCTTTTAAAAAATTAAATTTTTCAAATTGATTTTTATCTCTAACCAACCCTACAACCAAATATTTCTTTAATAATAATAATTCTTTTACTAAGCTACTCCCTATAAATCCGTTTGATCCACTAACAACAACTTTTTTTAACTCCATTAGAATATAAATAAAGGTATTAAAATTAAATGAAAACAAAAAACAAAAAAAAATAAAATAAGAGAAGTATAATAAATATTGAAGTTTGTTTTATAAATAAATAAAAAAAAATATTTATGGAGTTATTAACTACAAAATATATATCTATTGGATCTAATAGACTGTATGTTTTCTTTGAGAATGAGGTTTTTTTTTATTTTTGAGGTTTAAAAAAAAATTATTAATTTTTATTTTATTTACATGATTTTATATTATATATTTATTCTTTATTATTTTCTATTAAATGTTCTAAATTCCATTGTTTTAATTTATCCTTTAATTTGGTAAAAAAGATATTAGTAACCATGTTTTAAAGTGTTTTTTTTTTTTGGAGATAAAATAATTTTGGTAATTTTGAAAAAAATTATAAAATAAGCATAGTTTTCTTACTTTTATGCAAACCTGATATTCTTGCCATTCGTCTTCACAATCTAAGGTGACATCTCCTTTTAAGAATGAGTTTGTGTACCATTTATTAAAACATTGATCGTGTCTATCTTTTAAATCTTTACATAAATTTGGGTCCAACATTGGATGTTTATCTTTATCATTTTTCTTATCGATTGCCATTTTTATTATAACAAAAAAATAAATAAAAAAAAAAAAAAAATTAAATGATAATTAAATTTAATGAAACCAATTTCGTTTTTTAAAAAAATAAAAAAAAATAAAAAAAAATAAAAAAAATGAAAAATAATTTTTTTTATTTTTTTAATTATTTTTATTTTTTATTTTTTTTTTTATTATTAATTTATCTATTTATCTTTATTTTGTGGGTATAATAATATTTACCAATAATAATTATGGACTATTTCAAGTTATTTTTTATTTATAATTATTAATATGCCAATATTTTATATTTGTTTTTATATTTTTATATTTTTTTCATTTTGTTTACTTTACAAACTTGACTTTTTCTTGATTACTATCTTTTCAAAATTTTTATTGTGTAACAGCTTATAAATTTTTTTATTTGTTTTATAAAATTAATTTGGTAAAAAAAGAAAATAAAATAAAATATATTTTTTATTGAATTTATAAAAACAAAATATAAATTTGCAAATGAAAAACAATCTATTTTATTTTTATAAAAACTTATAATTTTGAAGTAAAATTATAGTTGTGTTGTAAAACTCTTTCGTTAATTGGAGGAAATGGTTTCAAGGTTCCTAAATATCTTGAAGTAGGTCTGATTAGGGAGTTGAGGGATCTTTGTTCGATTATATGAGCTGACCAACCAGAGACTCTTGCAAGAGCAAACAAAGGTGTAAATAGGTTTAATGGAATACCTATTTGATCATAAGTAGAGGCTGTGTAGAAATCTAAATTTGGGTGTAGTTGCTTTTGCGATAACATTATATCTTCGACACGTTCAGATATTGAAAAAAGTAAAGGATTTCCACCTTCTTTTTGGTCAAACTTTGATATTCTTTTAGACCATTCTTTGATTATAAGGTTGCGAGGATCCCCATTGGATTCACTATTGTATACTCTATGACCGAATCCCATTATAGTCTTTTTGTTTTTAATCATTTCCATTATTTGGTCATTTGCATCTTCAGGAGATTTGAATGTCTTCAACATTTCAATTACTCTTTCATTTGCGCCACCATGTAATGGACCTTTGAGGGCACCTATTGCACTTGATACACAACTATACATATCTGTTAAAGTCGATGCTGTAACTCTTGCTGTAAACGTTGATGTTGATAATCCATGTTCTGCATATAGTATTAGGGAAACATCCAATGCCCTAACAAATTCATCATAAACATTATCTTTTAATTTTAATAGTTTTAAAAAATGCTTTGATATACTATCATTCTAAAATAAAAAAAATAAGATAATTAATATAAAACTAATTAAGTGTTTGTGAATATACATACTGGGTGGGTAACAGTGTTTATTCTTTTCTTTGAGTTGACCCAATGGTACCAATATAATAAAATCGATGAAAATGAACCAATTAATCTATTTGCTATTTTATATTCATTATTGTGGCTTGATTCTGGCTCTATTGTCTAAATAGCTAAAATATTTAATAATATGATTTTTTAAAATAATAATAATGATAATTAATATTATATTTACACTATAAAATGAACATGCAATATTTAATACATCCATTGGATCTGCATTCTTTGGGATTCTTTCCAAAATTTCTTTTAAAGGTTGTTCTAATTTTCTATATGATGCTAATTGGTTTAAATAGTTGTTTAGCTCTTTTTGGTTAGGCAATTCACCATAAATCAATAAAAAAGCAACCTCTTCGAAAGATGATGTAGCTGCTAAATCTGTTAAAAATTAATTAAATTATTTAGTTTATATTTTCTTTTTTATTATTTTTTTTTTTATAAAATTTACCTTTGAGATTATAACCACGGTAGGTTATTCCATTGGTCCTGTTAATACTACAAATTTTAGTTTCTGTTACAATGGTTCCACTTAGGCCCTTAGGTTGTAATTTAGGTTGTATACCTGACATATTAATATTGAAAAAAATAATTTATTTAGATGTTATTATTATAAGGTTATAATTATAATCTTATTATTTTATTTATTGTTTATTATTTCATGCAACTCAATTAAATTATAACTACATTTTTTTAAAAATAAATAAATAAATAATTAAATAAATTAATAAAATAAATTAAAAAAAAATTCCCCCTTTTTTATTGAACCCCACTTCAAAAAAAAAAAGAAAAATTTTGATGAAAAAGTTCAAATAAGAACTATGGTTATCCAAAACTAAAATAAATATATCTTTTTATAAATATATTTGATTTAAAGAGACACAATAAATTAGTTTTATCATAAAAATTATTAAATTCAAAAAAAAATTCCAAAAAATGATTTATTTTTTTTTATATTTTTTTTTAAATTAAAAAAATTTAAAAATAAAAAAAAAAAAATAAAAAAAAAATAAATAAAAAAAAATCTTCACGTAATAATTTTGTATGCACGTTTTAATTTTTTTTTTTTTTTTTTTTTTTTTTTATTTTTTTGAAAATAATTTAATAAAACACAAGTTATAATAATATTATTATTTTAAAAAACACATATACACACCCACACCATACAAACTATATTAAATATATATAAATATATATATATATTTATCAACACAAATTTTGTGTATTATAAAAGATAAAAATAAATAAATAAATAAATTTTTTTTTTTTTAAATAATAAATATAATACATAAATAAATAAATATTTATAAAAGACAGGGCATTATGATATGAATGAAGCTTCTTCTTTAAATAATAATAATAATATAATAAATAAAAATATTAATAGTGAGGAGGGTAGTAGTGGTATCACTAATAATAATAATAATAATAGTAATAATATGAATAACAATAATAATAATAATATTAATTTTGTTAACCAAGCATCACCACAACAACTACCACAGCAAAAACTACAACCACAACTATCTGTAGCTAATAGTAATAATGAAAATAGTAATATTATGATAAAAAACGAAATAAATAACCCTATAGTTACAAATAATATTTTAAATAATAGTAGTAATGGTAGTAGTAATATATTTCCTTCACCTAGACCGATTGATCAACAAACACAACAACAAATTACATCACCAAACCAACCACCATTAAATTTTCAGTTAGTACAACAGCTTCAACTTTACCAACAACAAATATTAATGCAACAACAACAACAAAAATCAAATACGACTGTTATCGATGATCATCAAAATAATTTAATTAATAATATATCAAATAATGTTACAAATAGTTTAAATAGTAGCCAATTATTATCACCAAATAGTGATTCATCATCATCATCATTATCATCACCCACTATTTCAACTTCTACAACATCTAGCCTTTTGAAAAGTAGTACCAGTGGAACTGGTAGTTATAAAAATACTAGCGAAGAAGTTACTGGTGTATTCGACGATACAGATACCGAATCAGAAGATGAAGAATATCATAGTGATAGGTTTGTTTCATTTTATCTCATACCTTAATAATTTTATTATTGTTTTAAAATATTAACATTATTTATTTTATTATTTAGATCAATTGATTTTTGGAATAAAGATTATACTGATTTAGTTTGGAGATGCAATTGGATAGATTTACAAATTAGAGAATTACAATATCAAAGTTTAGTATGTGATCAACTTTATCATAAAGCAAGAAGGTCAAAACAAAAAATCTTTCCAGATAATAAATCAATTAGTAATAGTAGTGGAGAAACCTCTTCAACACCATCTACACCAACATTAACATCATCATCCACATCAATTTCATCATCCACATCACAACAACAACAACAGCAAACTGCTCCAATACAAGTTATTAATAAAACCATTGATGAACAAGAGAAAAAAGAGATTAATGAAAAGCAAGAGGTTTATCAAACACCAAATCCAAAACAGGATTTACATTCACTCCGTACTACATCGTTAATTAAATTAAGAAAACCAAGAAAAGTAATAAGAAGATCATTTTTAAGAATACCTTCAAAACAAATGACCAATGAGTTGGAAACTCATCCATTATTCACATTTCATAAAAGTTATTTTAAATTTGAAAATAGAATTAGTAAGTAAAGTTTATTTATAGATTCATTTTATTTTTTATAATTATTAACAGTTTTTTAATTTTTTATTTTAAAAGAAACAAATATAATCAATGATTCAAGAACTACATTTAAAGAAAAAGAAAAGCAAAAGAAATTATTATTATTAAACGAAGAAAGATTGAAACAATATATCACCTCTGGTGAAGATATTGATGTTGTTAATTTACACCCAGAAAGTAAAAGAGATAAAAGAAGAGGTAGAAGTAGTTTAGCAGAAAAAGAAAAAAGAGGTGTTCATGATATTGGAAAAGAGAAGGTGGATAGAGAAAGAGAAAGGGAGAAATCTAAAGAACGTAAGCTCAAACACAGAGAAGAGAAAAAAGAAAGGGCCGAAAGAGAAAGAGCCGAAAGAGAGAGGGAAAAAGAAAGAGAAAGACAGGCTGCTGAAAGAGAAAAAGAAAAGAATAAAAAAGATAAAAGGAAAGAAAAGGAAAAAGAAAAAGAAAAGAAAGAAAAAGTGAAACTAGAAAAGGAAAAAGAAAAAGAAAATCAAAAAGCAGAAAAAGAAAAAGAGAAAGCAATAGCAGCAGCAGCCAAAAAGAATAGGAGACCCACTAGAGGAGGAAAGAGACAATCTGTTGAATTTTACGATGAGGAAGAGGAAGATGAAGAGGAAGACATAGAGATTGAGGATGAAGAGGAAGAAGATGAAAAAGATGAAGAGGAGGCTGTTGAAGCAATTCGTAAAGAGGAGGAACTAAGCAGAAGAAAAAAGAGAAAACAATTATATTTAAGAAAAAAGCAATTAAAAAAAGAAAAACGTTTACAAAGAAAGAAGGAGCAAGAGGAGTTACAACAGCAACAATTAAAATTACAATTATTACAACAACAACACAAACAAGCTCAACAACAACAACAGCAACAACAACAAGCTCAACAACAAGCTCAACAACAAGCTCAGCAACAAGCAAAACAACTGGAATCAAAGAGAAGGGGAGGGGATACAGCAACACCACTTTCAGTTAGTTTTGATCATGGTTCTAGTATTCCAGTTGTCCAATATAAAGAAATTATTACACCTGAATGGAGAGATATTTCATCATCATCATCGTCATCAGCAGCAGCAAATACAAATAGTGCATCTTTATTACAACCAAATTCTACACCATCACCATTATTATTATCATCAACTCAACAACCACCAAGAGTTGGTCGTTCAACAATTTCACCAAATGCATTTTTAAACTCTTCAGGTGCTGAACCAGTTGCAAGATTTTCAACAATTACAGAAGATGAAATATTAGTTAGACAAAAGTCTTCAGATAGTTATATCAATGGTACAGCAATAGATATATCAATGAATGATTTAAATGGCACAACAGCAGATATGGGTCAAGAAGAAAGTAGTGATAGTGAATCGGAATATGACGATGATACCATGGCTATTATTCATGCAAAAAATGAAATTGAGGAAAAGAGAAGATTCTTTCATCAAATTCAACAAATCCAACAAGAAAATCCAGTCCCATTCAAAAGAAAAAAAGAGCTTCCAAAAGAATTCCAAGCACCAACTGTCAAGGAATTACTCCCATCCTATTACTTTGATAAAAAGTCACTTAAGCTTTTGGGTAAAACTTGGAATGGTAATTTGGATTATTTATCAGACAGTGATGAAAGCGAAGTTGAAACTGACGATAGTAGATTCGATTACAGTGATTACAGTGACTATGATAGTGACGATGATGACGATGAAAGTGACGAATTTACAGATTCATTAGAGTCCGATAGCATGTTTTCAGATAGTGATGATGACCTAGAATATCATCATATTAGTCAACATCATCATCATCAACAACAACACCATCACACACCATCAAAAAATAGTAAAAGACAACCTGTAAATAGTAATTCAAGTAGTGGTAGTAAAAGAAATCCACCATCAAAACAGCATCCATCAAAAGGATCTAAATCAACACCAACTAAATCAAATATCAATACACAAACCACACCAACCTCACCACCCTTAAAACCACCAACACGTTCAAAATCAGCACCAGTCCAAAATAATCCCTCATCACCATCAATATCATCAACAAATAATTTATTAAAATCACCAAGACAACTACCCTCACCAGTTTCAACATCATCTACATTAACTACAACGGCAACCGCACCACCACTGATAAGCACAACAACAACCAGAAAAAGAAATCAAGCTTTATCTGCAAGTACAGATATGCCACCAATTAAACCAATTTCAACAAGAAGAAAAAAACCACAAGCTAAAGAACAAGCTTTGCAAACAATTTTAGAATCCCCAACGAAATCTCCAAAAAATAAAAAAACAAATAATGCTACAGTACCAATAACAAAAGATGGTGAAAATGAAATTGAACAACAAGAACAAGATCCAAATTGCTCAGTTCAAAACTATACATGGCAACCAAGTATGGAGGCAACAGTAATTAGATTTAAAAGAGTAAAGAGTGATACAGAGCTTAATAGTAATAATAATAACAATAATACAACAAAAGAAAATTTAATACAAGAAACAACGACTTCAACTGCATCAATTGGTACTACACATCAAGAACAATCAACCCAACCAATTTTAGATGATTCTATGAATGAATAAAATAATTATATATAATAAATAAAAAGAAAAAAAAATAAAAAATAAAAATAAAAAAAAAATATATATAATTTTTTTTTTATAAGTTTGTATATTAAAAAAAAAGAAAAAGGTATAGTTAAAAAAAACTATAAAATTAAATTTTATTTTTACTTTTAATATAAGTTAAATGAAACTTTCTGGTTGAAATGTTTATATAACCAAAAAAAAAAAATTCATATTGGTAGCGGCAAACACTATAAGGAATGCTCTATTAGATAAACCCTTACAATAAAATGTTTTTTTGGTTTAAGGTTTTTTTTTTATTTTCACAAAAATAATAAAATTTATTTTTTTATTTAAAATATTTTTTTATTCAAAACAAAATCCTGTTTTGAAAAAATGGGTGGTATTACTGGTTTTTTTAATTTTTTTTTTTAATTTTTTAAAAATTTTTTTTATTTTTTTTAAACATGTCACAAATTACAAACACATAAACCAATAAATAAAAAAAAAAAGCAATGAATAATTTTATTAACAATAATAGTGAAGTTAATAATGCATTTAATAATGAGATTAATGAAGAGTATATGGATGTTGATATAGACTCAATAGACTTAATGGATGAAAAACAAATTAAAAAAATCTCTAAATCATTCAAATTGGTATTTAAAAAAGAAAAGAAATCAGCAATAGTTCAAAAAATAAAAGATGCTATAATATCTAGAAAGATGAAATATAATAACAATAGTAGCAATGATAATAATAGTAGTTTAAATAATAATGATAATAATAATAATACTATAAATATTAATAATTTAAATAACAATAATAATAATAATAATGACAAACAAGAAACCACACCAAATGGCGAAAAGTTGTTTTGGAAGGTTTTTAAAAATAAATATTTATTTAAAAAGATAATGTCAAATATGAATGAATCAGCTATACCTTGGCACGCAATTTATTCTCATAGATTTATGTTTAGGCAAAAGATGTATGAAGTATTTAAATTCAAAGTTAAACGTGGTGAATATATTGCATTTGATAACTATATGAATTCAATTTATCAAGAAATCCAAGATGACGAAGAATTTTACAGAGCTTTTTTTAATAACTATCCAGAATATTTTGAACATTATGGTAAAGCATTTCACCAGGCTATCGATGGTGATTGTTTAGTTGCCATTAAAGCTATTGTTCAAGATTCCTTGTTTATACCAACTTTAAACACACTATTAAAAGCGATTTCAAGACACAGATTCAAGGTTGTAAAGTATTTATTACAACCACAGTTCCAACTTGCACATCAAATCACTGAGGAAATGGTTTGTGACGAAGTATTTTCAAGTAGAGATATAAATACATTCGAGATAATCAATTACTTTATAGAATTGAAAATTATAACTGGTGACAAAAAAATTCGTCAATTTATTCAAAAAACACACAAAGATTTTTTTATTAGTTTAGCTCCACATTTATATTCTTTTTCAGTAAAACTAAGGGTGGTTTTAAATCTATGTAAATTTATACATGTGTTTAATATTCCACTTAATACTCAAAATCAACCTCAGTATCATCAAGAACCAAATATTTTAATATCATACGATGAAATTTTAAAATTATATTTTACCGATGAACAATTGGAATCAGGTTTAGATAGTCCAATAAATTATAATAATAAAGAATCTAGGGAATCAATTATTAAACTTGTAAATTTAGTGCACTGTGTGGATGGATTGGGGAAAATATTTGGAAGAAAGTTTGCATTACTGTATTTATATCAAGCAGATATTGATCTACTGATAAAGTCAAACCATCTTAACAGTTTTATTGATAATCAGCGACTACTAACGAAATCTTTTCAATTTGGATGTTTTAACTTGTTTGTAATGGGCTGTGAATACCATAGAAACTTTTTCTGTTATGAAACTTTCGAGTTGTTTAAATTTTGTCCAAATAAAGAAAAGCAAGTTGAATTCCTCACGTCATTGATAAAGGGCTATAAAGAGAATCCACTATTCAAAAAAGTAGTATCACCCGAGAGATTATTACATCCCCTGTTTGGGTATGGAGATTTGGATTCAGTAAAATTGGTTTTCAAAGATTTAATAGAAATAATAGAAGGAAATCAAGGTGAATTCGATATTGGGGAATTGGGTATCATCAAATCTACCGAAATATTAGATTATATATTTTATAATTATAACAAATATTTCATATTCAATGAAAATAGGAAAACAACATTATATTTATTTGGTTTCAAAATGATCAAATATTACAATCAACTAGTCCGATCCTACAGCAATCAATTAAGAGCAAATGGTGTCGAAACAATTCCCGAATTTATAAAAGGTGTAAATAATCTAGATCATGATAACTATGGACTAAAAGACGAATTCAATTTGCAAGACAGCCAAATAACCAGTGAAATCACCAAAAACACGCATAAAATAAAAGAAATAACAGAACAATATTTGATAAGAGGAAATGATAAAGCCATAATCAAGTTAATTGAAGCTGTATTTGTGCACAAACACAAGGACTATAAAGAATCAATAGAACATATAATAAACAAAGTAGTTCAAAAACATTCACTATCAGCACTAAATGAAATCCTAGCTTCCTATCCCGATATATTCAATACCAGTCTAGGGGTTGCCACATTCACTAAACAACAAGTTTTTCGTTTTCTTGAAACCTCAATAAAAGCTAATTTTTTAAAGGGTTCCGAAATTTTATTTCAAAAGATTAAACTATCAAAAAAACAATTTTTATATTTGGAATTTAATAATCCAACTTTTAATTATTTAAATTTTAAATATTTAAAATATTAAAATAAAACCATAATTTATAAATATATATATATAAATTTATTTATTAATATTAAATACAGTAAAATATATACGTAAAATGTTTTTTTGGTTTATATAGGTTTTTCTTTATTTTTATACACAATCTAAATATTTATTTTTTTTATTTTTTTTTTATTTTTATTTTTATATATTTAGTATTATTTATATTTTAAGATTTCATTGATGAATGTGATTCGATTTCAGCTCTAAAATAAAGAAAAAAAAGAAAAAAAGAAAGAAAGAATATTAGTATTGTTTTCCTTCTTTATTTTAGTATATTTAAAAATTATTATTAGTTTACCTTAATTGTTTTGAAAAATCGTCATCGATATTATCAGTATCCCAATCATCTTCCCATTGTTCTTTTGTATTTTCTTCTGATTCGGCAATATCTTTAGTTTTTTATTTATATTTATTATTTATATTTATTATTTTTTATTATTTATTATTTATTATTTAAAAGATATAGAAAAAATATTAATATATATTTTATAATAGTATATATTAAAAATAAATGAAAACTTACTGTCTTCAAATTCTTCAAATTCATCATCTTCAATAACTTCAACATTATCTTCTTTTGGTTTATTTACTAAAGTATCTTTATTGTCTTTATTATCTTTATTTTCTGTTTTGGTCATTTTATATTATTTGTATGGGTTTGTATATATATTAAATTGTTATTGTTTATTTACAAATGAGAATTAATTAATGTGGTGGTGAACTTAAAAGTGATTAATTAAAAAAAAATAAAAAATTTTTTTGGTCAATAAAAAAAAAAAAATTAAAAAAAAATTAAAAAAATTAAAAAAAAAATAAATAAAAATAAATAAAAATAATTATTTTTCAAAATTAAAAAAAAGTATTTTTTTTTATGATTTAGTTTTGTGTTGTTAATATTTATATGTAAAATATATATATATATATAAATAGAAACATAGATATAATGGCAAAAAAATCAAATGCATTAATTACAAATAATACAAAAAAAGATGAAGGATCATCTCCGGAAATGAATAAAAAAAGGTTGAAAAAACTTGAACAAAAATTAAATAAACCACCAAAATTAGAAGAAAGACCTATCAGTAATACCAAGTTTACATTATTATCAATATTTTGCGCATTCTTGGCAATAGTATATTTATATTTATTAAAATACCCAATAAATCATTCCAATAACAACAATAATAACAACAATCAAAATAATAATAATTTTATAAATAAAGAAATTTTGGTTGATGATTCAGCCGAAACTATAAAAAATATCGAAACTGGTTTAAAAAAGATATCAGGATTTAACGAGTGGGACGGTAATTGTCATAATAAAACTGTTGCTGTTGGTTATAATACAAATTTAGACTTGGTAGTTGATGCAATCGAGTTATTAGAGAAATTAAAGTTAAAGCCACAACCACTACACCACCAACCAAAAGAAGTAATTTCATCATTAAGCGATTTCGAAGCAATATTTTCATACTATTTTAAATCTGGTAGTGCCGCCGAAAGATATATTCAAGATGAAGAAACCTTTGAATCCATTTTAGCTGCTGCTTTAGCTTCATCATCAAAACAATTTTATACAGGTGGTAATGCTGGTATCATGGCTAATAGGTAGGGGAAAAATATTTAGTTTATAATTATAAACTATTAAACCTGGGTATACTAACCAATCTTTTTTATTTCATTAATAGACTTGTTAATGATAATTGTAATGTTTATTTAGGTGGAATCATTGGAAAGAAATTAAAGCAATTAATATCACCAAAAGTTAATATCATTGGTTATGAAAGCGAAAAGGGCGAAGAGTTTGATGAAGTTCATTTGATTTTAGAGTATGGAAAAAAGAGTGTATGGGGCGAACACAGAGCACCAAGAGCCAATCGTTTTATTATTTCAAGAGATAACACAAACTCAAATCTTTTAACCATGGAGTCATTCCATTCAATCATCGAAAAGAAACCAGATCTTATTTTGTTATCAGGTTTACATTTATTGACCGATGAAGCCCAAGAAAGAAGAGTAGAGGATATGGTCAAGTTATTAGCAGATATCCCATACAACAGCGACCCAATTCACTTTTTAAATCCATCACTCAACATGCCAATCCATTTAGAGTTGGCTTCAATTGCATCATCCAAATATATCAGTTTATTAGTTAATAAAATTGTACCATTTGTAGACTCTATAGGTTTAAACGAACAGGAATTAGGTTTTATTTATGTTTCAACTGGTGGTAAAAAATTTACTCTTGATGACTTCAAAGAGCCAACCGTCAACACTGCAGTTGAAGCTATCATCCATATATTCGATATATCATTCTCAAACCAAGACAAAACTGATAGTGATATATTAGGTGATTTCGGTATTCCAACCATGTCAAAACAAAGATCTCTCACTCGTATTCATTTCCACTATTTAAGCTTCCATATCGTTTCCACCAAAGCTTATTCCCAATGGTCACCAAACCAATCCTCTGCCGCTGTCGCTGCTTCCTCAATCGAAGCTACCAACCAAGCTTGTCTCTTTAACGATGTAGAGCTCCATTTACCTCCATCAGTCGAAGTTGACTATCGTTATACACCAGGTGCTACTAAGACTATTCTCTTTAATAAAAAATCACCTGTAACTTATTGGCAAGATTCTGGATACGAGTTTCACGTTGCTCCAGTCTTAGTTTGTAAATCACCAATGAAAACTGTTGGCTTAGGTGATTCAATTTCGACAATGGGTTTCTTATATCAAACTATTAAATCTGATGCAACTTATAATAATCAATAAAAATTAAATAATATATTATATATTTAAAAAATAATGTTTATTTATTTATTTTATTTTATTTTTTATTTGTTTATTTATTTAATAAAACCAATCTATTGAACTCTTTCTTTTCTTAAAAGTTTTCCCAAGAGAAACCATCATTACATGGATCATTCATAGACAAACTTTGGATTTCCTTACTCGAATATAAATTAAAATCTTGGTCGTTGAGTATGTCTTCTTCGCTGTAATAATCTTCCTCGTTTTGATTTTGGTATTCACTGTGGTCATTTATAAAGTCTTGATCAAAAAATTCATTATTGCTATTTTCTTCATTAAGATTGTATTCATTTGATGGAACTTCTTCAAAAGCAAATTGTTCTTGTGTGAAGTCATTTAAATAATAACTATCTTGATAATTAAATAGTTGTAAAGTTCTTTCAATACAATTGTTTAAATCTTTCCTTTTTAATTTAGATTTTTTATAAATCTTTTTAAACTCTTTCATGAATTCTAATTGATTTTGAATTTCTAGTATTTCAATAACCTCTTTATATTTTTTTCTTTCAATCTTTGCTAAAAAAACAATAATGTTCAAAATTTGTAAAGATTTATTATAATTGTTTATATTTTTGAAGAAATTTGATAATAAAATATAAAAAATCTATAATAAAATATAAAAAATTAATATAAAAATAATATCATTAATTGGTTTTAAAGTATTATACTTACATCTGTGTTATTTGTAAATTTTTTTTTAAATTTTTTTAAGCATTTTTGGGATGGATCGAATAGTTTAGTTATGAAACCAGCTAATAAAATATAGTATTTTAAAGATGGATCGATATCAAGAATTGATATTAAACATGGTATTAATCCGCTAGCTATTTCACTATGGACAATAAGATTCTCGTGTACTGATAGTGCCAAGTAATTTGAAAGAATTTTAGCTATTTCTTGTAGAATATTATAGAAATCTGGGTTGTCTGTTGAATAGCCTATTCTCTTTGACATTATATTTGTTAATGCCCCAATAATACCAGAATTAAATATTTGGTAAGTTCTATTATTACTTTCTTCAAATGGAGATTTCGAAGGTTTTAATATGATTTTTAAAAGTTTTAATATATTGAGGTACGATGGTAAATGTACATCTAAAATATTAATTGCCCCAATCTCTGAAATAAATTGTGAAACGATATCTTGGCCAATTGAGTCTGGTATTTTTCTAAAGTTATATAATATTTGAACCAATTCTTTATTAATTAAATCATCTTCTATAAGTTGGTTATCTGAGTACCTTTCAAAGAACTTCTCATCAATATTTAATGTATTAATATCACTCATTTTGTCAGTATTTGTGAATCCATACGATGGAAGAGTTTCGAAGACGGATTCTTCTATTGGCACTACACAGTCTTGTAAAATTTCATTTGAATTGGAATCATTTGTATAACAATAATTGGGATTATCTATTTCTGAATAAGGTGGGGGAGCTTCTTCATATGTATCAAAATGAGAGTTTGGGGTGTGGCATGGGGATGAAATAACAGAAAGCTCTATATTTTTCATAGGACTCTCCTCCTTGCAACTTTCATTATAGTTATCAAATGGAATATCTTCGGTACTATAAAAATTTGATTTTCTTTTTTTTAAAATCTCGAAAATTGATAATCTTATTTTTGACTTACTATTGCTTTTTGTTTCCTGGTCTTTCTTTTGAGAATTATATGAACTAGCTGATGAATATGATCCATTTTCATTAATATTTATTACAGTATGGTTATTTGAAAAACTGGAATAATGTTCTAATTCTTTTGGTGTGTCTTGGTTGATAGATGGTGTTTGTGAAGTTAGTAGTTGTTGTTCGATAAAAACTCTTAATTGTAAATAATCTAACATTTCAATTGTGTGTTTTAATTTTTGGTCAAAACTTTTAAAATTAAAACAATCTAAAAAAACAATTGAATGTACATTTTCCTTCTCTTTTAAAAAAATCTCTATTTGGCCTACATATTCCTTTATAATTAGTTAATATTAATATTAATAATTGTTTTTCTTTTTCTATATTTTAATATAATACTACCTTTAAGAGGTCATAAGGACTTGGTATTTGATCGTTTAATATATTCAAATCCACTGTTTGTGTTAAGAAACCTTTATTTAATTCATCTGATGAATATATAGGTTTTTTTTTAAATTGGAAATTATATTGTTTGAAATATTTTAAAAATAAGGTATTTTCGATGTTGTCTTTAAAAAATAATGATAATGAATTATTATCATTTAATGGTGATGTTGAATCTATATTTATGAAACTATATTGATTAGATAATTCCTGATAAAAAAAATTCTCTTGAAAAAGATTGATAAAGCTATTATTTATAAAAGTATTAATCAATAACAATAAATTAAAATAAATTTCTAGAAATTTAAAAAAAATTTTATTAGCAAAGAAATTAAAATTTATTAATAAAACAAATAAATAAGATCTACTTACCACAACATAGATTTGACTTAGTTCTATTAAAGTCTTCTTCATTTTCTTCACTTAATAAAATATTTTTTAATTTTAAAAATAAATTACTACTTGTTGTGTTAATTAACGAACCATTTGAAAATTTTAAAACCATTAATATTTTTATAGTTTCTAAAGCATCTATAATATTATATTTAATATATTCATCTTTAACCAAAAAATCTAATAAAGAAATGATTTTTTTTTCTTCTTCAAAACATTTATACTTTGGACCATTATTATTAAATAATTCAGCCTATATTTTTTTAAAAAAAAAAAAAAAAAGAAATTAATGAGGGAAAAAAATAGATAAATAATTAAAACTACTTACATTTGGATAACCCATTAAATAAATATAAATACTATTAATTGTATCATTGGACTCTATTAATCTAAAATAGCAGTCAATTGTAGATGAAGATCCTGGAGATGAAATAAAAAAAGTCCATAAATCAAACAGATTATCTAATAAATCAATAGATTCCTGTTGGGATTTATGAGAAAAAAACTTTTTTATAAAATTATTTTTTGAAATTTGGTCATTTCCTAACAATAAAAAATTTTTAATGTTATTTATATTATTATTTATATTATTTTTAAAAAATAAAACCGATTTTATTGTATGAATAGGAGAAGGAGTATCTTTTAAAATTAAATAATTTTTATATTTTTCATTAAGACACAAAAAATTATTTTCGTTTGCCTCATATAAAAAATTTTTAATTTTATGCTCCATTCTCCCTTATCTTTTAAATATTTTTTTTAATATTATTTTTTTTCTTCTTTTTTTTTGAGGGTATTTTTTTTTTTAAAAATCCAATTTTTTTTAAAAATGAATTTTGTGATTTGGAAAATAGACAAATTTCAAAAAAATATGTGGAGTTTTATTTTTAATTAATATGAGGATGAAAAAAGAGGTTAGTAATGGGCAAAAGTTTTTTTTAAACAACCAATAAAATTTTTTTTTTTTAAATATCTTTTTTTTTTTTTTTTATCAATTTTTTTTTTATTAATAAAAAAAAAAATATAAATTTTATTTTGAGAATCGACAAAAATTTTTTATTAATTTTTTGGTTTTTTTAAAATATTTATAGAAAAATACTTAACAGATGTGCAACCTAATAAAAAGTGTGATTTTTTTGTGAACTTTATGATTTTGAATTTTTAATTATTTTGTATAAAAATATTTTTACAGGCATACAACATCCGGGTGATTTATAAATAATAATTAAAACTATAATTACTAAAACGATAAAAAGACACACAGAACCTATTATAATACCTGCAATTTGTGATTTACTAAGACCTGAACCTTTACAGCTTGAACTTGCTGAATTTGAATCTAATAATACACTAAAGTCTGGATCCACAACTACATTATCTGAAAAATATGGTATGTTTATACCAATGTATGATTGTGAGTTTTGATGATTGTTGGTTAAATTTTGGTTCATCGAATTGTCTAATATAGTATTGGTTATTGTTGAAATTTGATCATCATCTACAATACATCTTTTAATGAATCTACCATAGAATGAGTAGTTGTCTACTTGAAGTTTGAGGTAGTCTGAGTTCTCTCTTGTTAAATTACCAAATTGTTTAACTGTTCCAGAACATGAGCCTGAATCGGTTTGAATTGATGCTTTCATGATTAGCTGTAATGAATTTAATATGCTGCTAAAGGGATAATTTGTGATTTTGATTGTATATTTAATTGATGATGGATTTAGCTCAACATTTTCGTTTGCAAACTGTACATTGGATGATTCTTTAAACCATTCTAAAGTTGCTGTAATATTTGATACATCAACCCCATCTTTTTTGATTGTTGATGTATAGGTATATACTGTACTGATGGAATCATTTGAAAGTAATCTGTATATCCATGTATCAAAAAAGTATTTGTTTATTTCTGTTGAATAAAAATCTAGTTCTTTAACACCCACAATTGACACCACACTTGTAACAGATATTTCTTCACCTACTGTAATATTTGTTGATGGATCAGTCTCATTAATTTTTGGTGGTGGTACTGTGATAACTTTTGACATACAATCTATGCCAATCCATGGTAATATACATTTACAACCGGTTAAATAGCATGTGCCTTGTGTTGGACCACCACATAACGGTGTACCTTTGCATAATGAGCTTGTGTTACTTGGTACATCTGGTTCAATAAAGTTGAAAACAGTTGGACTAATTGTTATTGGATCTGTAGTACCAATTAGATTAAAACCAAAAATTACTATTGGTTTAGTTGTAGGTTTTATTTTTGAAAAATATACAGCCGTTGAGGAAAGGTAAGTTGGTTCAATTGTTTTAAAATTTTCATCGCTGTATTTTATTTGGAATGTTGCTGTATTTAATTTTTTTCCATAAATCCAGACACCACCCAAACCTGTGCTTGATAAAGATGATGAACTGGTAAATAAACCAATACTATAAGCACTCGCTGGGGCTAATTTAATATCAAAACCAGCATTTTTTAAGTCATTTGGTGTATAACCTGCTACTGTTCCTGCATTTGAAACAATTCCATAAACAGAGAAATAATATGTATTAAGACTATCAAAATTAAATGGAATTAATATCTTTGAGTAGAATGATGTAAAAGATTCATTTGAATAAGTTACTATGGTTTCATATGATGGAATAACTGAGTAGGTTGGAAATACTGCATAAGCTGTTGGCATATAAGAAGTGGACACACCATTGATATGATATGCAGTATAGCTAACAGTAATAGTTCTACTCACAACAGAGTTTGAAAAAACAAGATAATCAATTTTAATATCTTTAAGGACTGGGTTAATAGAATCACCACCTCCTGGAACTAGTGGACTACATGATATACTTAGTTCTAATAAACTTGAATATTTTAGACCTAAGAGTTTATAAAATGGATTCTTTTGATTGATTTGGAGAATATCATATTCTGTAAAGTAACCTTCATTATCCTCAAAATATGCATAGATGATAGTATAAATTTGTGAAATGCATGGTGAATTGACGACCAATGGAACTGAGTATGTACCTGTTAACTGGGTACCTGTCAATAAATTTTTTGAACTAATTGTTACATTTCTTTCAGTCAAATCTAAAGAACCTCTAATAATTACATAACCTTTTTTGAAACCATTGGCATTATCAAAAATATCGAATAACCATCCGTATTCATTAACCTTGAGTGAGTCTTGATTTTTCTTTTGAATATTTGTAACAATTGGACCCATTAAATCAATATCTAAAATCAAAAATAATAAAATATTAGTGGCTTTTATAAATATATAAATATTTTACAATAATGAGTATTTACTTTTTGATTCTTTAACATTTAATTGGTATTGATTAGGTAATGCAAAACTATAATAGTTTAATTTATCTAATGAATCTAAGGTAATTATATAACCAACACTTCCGGTTCTAATATTCATTGGAGTGATGAATTCAAATTCGAATTGGTCTGTTGCTGGATTGTAATTTGAATAAATAGTATCATTTTTTTGATTTATTCCCGAGTCTGTATAAATAAATGTTACTTTAACTTCTCTATCTGTTGGGTAGTTATTGAGTTTAACATACATTTTATTTGAAAATCTGGTATTTGTAACCCCAAAGTTATTATAAAGGAATGATACATTCTTTAATCCATTTTTAAAATCAAAGCCTAAATATAAAAAAATATATTAGAATTATTGCTTCTATTGTTATTATTATTATTATAAAAAATTATTTCATACTTGATGGTAATTTATCTTTATCTGAAACTGAATCTAAACTTTTAATAGTACCGCCAATGTTATATTTATAATTTGGACCAATATAATATTCAGTCATAGATTCTCTAGACAATCTTAATACAATTTTATATAGACTAAATCTAGGAACATTAATTTCAAGGTATCGAAGATCCCAACTACTCGAAATGATTTGAGTCTCTGTATCTGAATAGGAGCTATATATAGTTGTGTCCGAACTATAAAGAACAATATGAGTTAGATAATCTGTTACGACAGAAATATTTAAACTTATTAACATTCTTCCTCTTGGAATTAATTTTAAATCATAATAAAATATATTTGAAGGTGTAATTATACCTGAAACTAAAATAAAGATATTAGTATTATAATTTAAAAAAAAAAGATAATTTAAGATGGGTCTTACACTTTATTGGTAAAATATAGTTATATGATAATCCATTTGCTTTAAACTGAACATTATCGTTAACAATTCTATCACGAGTAAAATAATAAGTAAAGGTTAAAGTAGAGAATATGTTATTTACATTGTAACCATATGGGAATCTATAAACCTTTTCTGGTTGACCAAACGACAAAGAGTAAGGAAGATTAACTTGTGATAATGCTAATACAACTGTGAAAAAGGGTGTATCCTCTATCCCAGTGGCTGACATAATAATAGAGTCAGCTACGTCTTTGTTTGAAAAATAGAAAAAATTAATATTTAAAAATTATAATATAGTTTTTGATCATCTGTTTTTTCTTACTTTTTTGATTTAAAGTTTGAGAAAATAAAACCTTCTTTTCGTTTGAGTAATAATAAACCAATGAATAGGTTGATTGTTGCAAAACATCACCTGATAAGGGGACCAAATAATTAAAAATACCAGATTTTGACCCAACTAAAAATGGTTCGTTTTTTTGTACACCATCCACTAAAGTATAAAAATAATTGTTATATTGATCTTTAATATTTCCTAGCTCTGCATATCCTGCATCTGTAATTAAATCACTTGGGTCACTTGGATATAGACTATATATTGGTAAATTATTTGAAGCTATAAAATTAAAAGAATAATAGTAATTAGTAGATGATCTAAACTAAAAATTCACAAAAATTTAATAAAAAACATACATTGTAATACAATTGGTACATTAATTGTTAATGATTTAGCAGAGGAGAATAATATTGAAAAGCTAATTGAATTTCTTGTTGAATCAAATAATAATTCATTATTATATTTAAATGCTATAAAGTAGGTATTATAACCCATATAAATTTGAGTATATGGTGCTGTTAAATTTAAATCCAAATCAACTTCAATTTGATCGATTTGTAATAAAACCCCAATAGTATTATAAAAAATTCCTGAACCAAGTAACGAATATTTTATATTTGATACGTCATATTCTAATAATTAAACTATAGTTAGTATATTATATTTATATATATACAATATGCAAAAATAAATAATAAACTTGATAACCCACCAAAACAAGTAAAATGTATAATATTTTGTATTTCTTGATTACCAGATACTGAACCAACAAAAGCTACAGAAATAAACTTGTTTACCCCTAATTCCACCGTTTGTTTTAATGTGAAATATAAGGTACCATTTGAAAATGATTTACCTATTAAATCACCACTAAGAGGTTGGGCATCGATTACATCATCCGGGGTTTGCGATTGAGCTGAAATGGGGATATTAAATTCACAATAATTTGATGATGATGTTTTTCCGTACCCTATAAAAGTATTAGAACCATCCCCCACCAAAATCTGTAGTGTTATACCTTGACCACAACATATTATTATTAAATAAAAAATATTTAATAAAATGATTAAAAATTTTTTCATATTTATTTTTTTGATTTTTATTGTTATTTATTTTTATTTTTTTATTCACTTTGGTTTTTAAACATTATTAATTATTGAAAAAAAACTATGATTAATTTATATAATTATAAAAATTATAATAAATAAAATGATTAAAAAAACTGAAAGAATAGAATCATATTCTGACCAGCTTTCATTTCTCACCTTAAAAAAAAAATCTGCTTTTTTTTTTTTTTTTTTTTTATTTTTTATTTAATTTTATTTTTTTTACGTTTTTATTTATTTTAAAAAATTTTAAAAATATTTTACCAAGCTAAAAACCCAAAACTGGACCGTGATGCGAAAGTTAATAGAAAAAAATATATATTTTAGAAAAGTTATATTTTCCTTTTTATTGTAAATTTGTAATTTTTCTTATATAACATGCCACCATAAAAATAAAAAACCTGCTTTTACAAGAGGATACCCATTAGTAAAAAATATGTTTCAAATTAAAAAAAAAAAATTGATGCCCCCAAAAAAAAATAAAAAAAAGATGCCCCCCACACACCTTAAATATTTTCTTAAATAAAATTTTAAAAAAAAAATCTGCTTTTTCAACGAAATTAAAAAAATTATACTTTTTGATTCAGAAGCAAACAAAACCATTTTTTAAAAAAATTCTTAAAAAAATAAAAAATATCAATAATTTTTTATTCTTTACAAATTATAATAAAAATGTTGTCTATAAAAATAAAATAAAAATAATACAAATTATTTGATGTATAACTACATTTAGCAGTGTTTTTGTGTGTATGTGGGGTGTGGTTTATAATGGACACTGGTCGTTGGAATATTTTTTCTACATTTGGTTTTTTTTTTTTTTCTTTTGCAACAAAAAAAAAAAAAAAACCAAATATAGAATGTAAAGAAAAAATAATAAAAACAAAAAATTATTTCTATTTGTGAATCTTTTCGTATCTCAGGCTAAAATTTTTTTTTTTTTTTTTTTATAAAATTTTTTTTTTATTTAATTTTAAAAAAAATTCATATTTTTTTTTAAATTTTTATGAGTTTATTTAATTTTTTTTTGTGTTCAGATTCAAATCAAATAATAAAATAAAATGTGTTAGTGTATGTATATGGTTAATATATCAATCTTATCGTATTAAACTTTTGGTTTTTAAAGTGTTTATATATCTATGCGATGTACATATGTTATTTCTTTTTTTTTTTTATCTGTTTTTTATTATTATTTTTTTTTTCTTCTACATCTTTTTATTCATTTACAAATTAACATAATAATACATTATAATTTATTGCCACCAAACAAACACCAAATATGTTCAATAATAAATATTTAAATTAAATAGAAAAAAAAATAAAAAAAAAAATAAAAAAAAGAAAAAAAAAGAAAAAAAAGAAATATAAACGACAATATTTTTTTTGATTTTTAACAGATCCAAAAATTCCAATTAATATATATTTTTAATAGTTTAATAGTTTAAAAAATAACTTACTCATAATATCTTTTCAAAATTCATATATTTTATTTTATTTTTAATTTTTAAAATTTTATATACCAAAATAACAAATTGTATATATTAAATTTAAAATTAAAATTAATTTTTTTATTGTTTCATTTTATTTTATTTAAGATATATCATTAATAGTTTTAACTAAAATAAAATTTTTGTATAAATAATAATAGAATTTAATCATATCATAAAAAATAATTTAAATATATAAACTAACAAAATTTTTTTTTTATTAATTTAATATTTGTTGTTGTTCTTTTTTCTTTTTTTTTTTTTTTTTTTTTTTTAAAAAAATGATTAAAAAGATTTTGCAATTATTTTTTGAAAGGCAACCAGTAAAACAAATACTCTTTTCACAAAAGATTCAACTATCCAATGATGATATTCAATCATTTAATAATATAATATATGCCATTTGTAATGATGGCGATAGTAACAATAATATAGTAGAGTATATTAATAACGATAATAATAATTTGGTTATATTTAAAGTTAATAATATCAATAGCAGTTATGTTATAGAAACACCATTTCCATCACCATCTTTATTTCAAGTAACAACAATAAACTCTTATAAACAATCACCAATTATCGAAGACAATAATAACAATGATAATGGTATCAATAATAATGATAATGATATTATTGAAAGTATTGAACCATTTTCATTAATAGACACAGCCGATGAATCAATATTGGATACACCTTTATTATCAGAGTTATCTCTAACAGCAGAGTCACCTTTAATAATAGAGTCACCTTCAACTACACTATCAACAGAGTCACCTTTAATAATAGAATCACCTTCAACAAATGGATTATCTAATTATAATGATGAGGCAATAGAGGAGAAGTTAGTTCTAGACTCAAAGTTACCAACAATTTCTATAACTGATTCAAATACTTTAGAAAAGAATACTAATATTGGCGCAGATACATTAAGTCCATATGAATGTAGTCCTATTTTTTCATCTGCCAGTAGTTTATCATCGTTGCCTTCCATTACTACATTGGAATCTTTAGAGGCAAATGTTTGCTCATTACCATCGACCACAGCCACTCCAGCTACAGCTGTAAATCTTCCATTGGGTTCTGCTGCTACATTTGAAATTAGATCACTTTCATCATCAACAACCTCAATAACTGCCGCTGTGTTTGAGTTTAGCCGTCAATTGGTTGAAAATTCATCCCCAAGTGTTCCATTTACCTCGCCAATATATAGTCCAGTTGCTGCAACTGTCTCAAGAGCAAATAGTTTATCATCATCACCAATACTACCATCATCATCATCAACACCAACAAATAAATTTGTTCCATCATTATGTATACCAACATACTCTGCTAATAGCAAACCAGTATCACCAACACTATTATATAGCCCAATTTTTCATTCACCACCACTACAACGCATTGCAACACCTCGCTCCCCACCTTTATTATCGTTACAGATAGAAAATTCAAGCCAGCGCCATCTTAATGGAAATGATACAACATCAATACCAACACCTCCACCCCCACCCACAACACCACATGTTTCGACACCACGTCCATTATGTGGTTTGCCTCCACCACCTCCAAAAAAATTTAATAGTCGTCAAATTAATAAAAATGTACCATTACCATCCATCAATATGAAGCAACTATATTGGAATAAAATGAGTAATTCAAAGATTCAAGGCACCATATTTGATAGTTTAACCAATCATCCCTCTAATTGCGATTTTATCAAATTGGACTTTAAAGATATCGAAAGAGTATTTTCAGCTAAATCTATCGAAAAGAAAGAGCATTCGACATGTTATAGTCCAAGAAAGCTTTGCCCAATTCAAATTATAGATACCAAAGTCTCACAAAATCTCTCCATTTTCTTATCCTCCCAATTTAAAGGCACTGCTTTTGGTGAAATCTGTTATGCTATTGAATACGGAAATGAAATGATGTTTCAACTTAACCATATTGATTCCTTGTTGGGATTCTTACCTTCTGTAGAGGATATCAAGCAAATTAGTCAATACATAAAGGATAACAATACTGACGTTTGTAAACTGGGCCCAGCTGAGCAGTTTCTATTGGCCATCAATTCGGTTCCACAGGTACGTGCTCGTCTTTCAATAATGAAATTTAAATACACATTCGAAATAAAGAAAATGGATTTATACACAAACATCAACAATATTAAACAAGCAACTAAAGAAATTAAGCAAAGTGAAAAGATTTCAAAATTATTATTGGTAATACTTACAGTGGGTAATTTTCTTAACAGTGGCACAGCTAGAGGTAATGCATTTGGATTCAAATTAAATACAATCACCAAATTGGCAGATATTAAATCAACTGACAACAAAATATCATTGGTTAATTACTTATCCAAGGTAATTCATAAAGATTTTCCACATCTCCACACATTTGCTAAAGACCTTTGCCATGTCGAGTCTGCTTGTCGTATTTCGCTCTCTGATTTGTTAACTGAAGTATCCAATTTAGAAAAAGATTATGTTCAGGTACAGCAATTAATTAAATCCCTTCAAATTGATCAAGGTAACGAATTTAAACAAAAGTATGAAGCTTTTTGCACTCACATCACTAAAGATATAGATTTAATCATTACTGTATCCAAAGAAACTGAAAGAGATTTTCAACAGTTATTGGCAATCTATGGTGAAGAAATGAAAACAGAATCAAATGAATTCTTTGGAATTTTTCTTAAATTTATCGAACAGTATGAAAAATCTACAAAAGAAAATGAAAAACTATCATTAAAAAAATCAAAAAGAAGATAACAGAGATGGGGAAATCTTTTACCAAAGTAATTCAATATTTTTCATGTAATAACAACTTGTAAATAATAAATAGATAAAAATTTTATAAACAATTATTAAATAAAAATTCAAATATTGTAAAGATAATAATTAAATAAATTATTTATTAACTTTCTAAAATATAGCACCATAATATTTTACTTATCTTATTAATATGGTTTTGTAAAGGTTATTGAAAGGAAAAAAAATATTTATAAATTTAAAAATTTAAAAACGTAAAAAATTTAAAAAAAAAAAAAAAAACTGCGTATAATAATTAAAAAAAATAAAAAAAAAAAAAAAAAAAAATTTAAAAAAATTATTTTTTGTTTTGTTTATTATAGTTTTAAAACCGTGGGTGAGTGTTGTGAGATTATTTGGTAATAAGAGAGATTGAACTTGGTCAAAACCATAACCGAATGTGAGTGCTGTAAGACTATTTGGTATTTAATTATTAGTTATGAACTGATCACTTTATTTATAGTTTTTTTTTTAGTATTAATGTTATGTTTTTACTTTGTTTAGGAATTCCATTGATTCACTTGGTGCGGACATATTGATTATTACCTTGGCTATTTTTTCTGTGGTAGTCAGAGCCAGCTTCTGTTCATATAAGCCGGGACCACTAAGATCAGTATTACAATCTTTGTGGTTTGGTCTAGTCTGTGTTATACCTGCAATGCATTCTGATTGATGAGACCAGACCGGGTATCGTTTAACGATTCATACCATTTAAAATGGCAGAGTTCTGAATTTGGGTGGATATCAGGATCCAGATGTTTTTTTACGGTGTTACTCCTCACCTTGGTAGAAGAATGTTAATCATGACTGATTACTTTATTTAATTTTTACATGTACCGGGTGGAATTACTTGGTTAAAAAGACTTCCAAATGTGAGTGTTGTGAGACTATTTGGTAATGAGCCAGGTAGAAATACTTGGTTAAAATAATGACCGAATGTGAGTGTTGTAAGACTATTTGGTAATGAGCCGGGTAGAACTACTTGGTTAAAACGACGACCGAATGTGAGTGTTGTGAGACTATTTGGTAATGTGCCGGGTGGAACTATTTGGTTATAATCATCACCGAATGTGAGTGTTGTGAGACTATTTGGTAATGTGTTGGGTAGAACTACTTGGTTAAAACTACGACCGAATGTGAGTGTTGTGAGACTATTTGGTAATGTGTTGGGTAGAACTACTTGGTTAAAATTATTGCCGAATGTGAGTGTTGTGAGACTATTTGGTAATGTGCCGGGTGGAACTATTTGGTTATAATCATCACCGAATGTGAGTGTTGTGAGATTATTTGGTAATGTGTCGGGTAGAACTACTTGGTTAAAATCATTGCCGAATGTGAGTGTTGTGAGACTATTTGGTAATGTGTCGAGTAGAATTACTTGATTAAAATAATTGCCGAATGTGAGTGTTGTGAGACTATTTGGTAATCTGCCGGGTGGAATTACTTGGTTAAAACAATAACCGAATATGAGTGTTGTGAGACTATTTGGTAATGTGTCGGGTAGAACTACTTGGTTAAAATCATTGCCGAATGTGAGTTTTGTGAGACTATTTGGTAATGTGTCGGGTAGAACTACTTGGTCAAAACCATGACCGAATTTGAGTGTTGTGAGACTATTTGGTAATGTGCCGGGTCGAATTACTTGGTTAAAATAATTTCCGAATGTAAGTGTTGTGAGACTATTTGGTAATGTGTTGGGTAGAATTACTTGGTCAAAATAATTGGGTAGAATTGCTCGATTAAAACAAACACCTAATGTGAGTGTTGTGAGACTATTTGGTAATGTGCAGGGTAGAATTACTTGGTTAAAACAAAAACCGAATATGAGTGTTGTGAGACTCTTTGGTAATGTGCCGGGTAGAATTTCTTGCTTAAAATCATCACCGAGTGTGAGTGTTGTGAGACTATTTGGTAATGTACCTGGTCGAATTACTTTGTTAGAACAATAACCGAATGTGAGTGTTGTGAGACTATTTGGTAATGTACCTGGTCGAATTACTTGGTTAAAATCATGACCGAATGTGAGTGTTGTGAGACTATTTGGTAATGTGTTGGGTAGAATTACTTGGTTAAAAGCATCACCGAGTGTGAGTGTTGTGAGACTATTTGGTAATGTGCCGGGTCGAACTCCATGCTTATAACGACTACCGAATTTGAGTGTTGTGAGACTATTTGGTAATGTGTTGGGTAGAACTTCTTGGTTAAAACAATAACCGAATGTGAGTGTTGTGAGATTATTTGGTAATGAGTTGGGTAGAACTTCTTGGTTAAAATCATCACCGAATGTGAGTGTTGTGAGATTATTTGGTAATGTGTTGGGTAGAACTACTTGGTCAAAATCATGACCGAATGTGAGTGTTGTGAGACTATTTGGTAATGTGCTGGGTAGAATTACTTGGTTAAAACGACGACCGAATATGAGTGTTGTGAGACTATTTGGTAATGTACCGGGTGGAATTGCTTGGTTAAAAGGATTATGGAGTGCGAGTGTAGTAATTGTGTTTGGTAAAGTTGTTAGAGTTAGCATTTTAGAAGAACCGTGCAAATATAAATTTGTCAAAAATGGTGGATATTCATCTTTATCTGGTAGTGTATTATCACGCCACTTAAGTGTTGTTATATATGATTTATCTTTAAACTTGCTATAACCTGATATATCAAGATCTTCAACACTATGTTTAATAAACTTTAAAATATGTTTATGAATTTCATTTCTTAAAAATATATTATTCCAAACTCTATATAATAATCTATAATAAATAGTTAAAAAGAGAAAAAACTAATTAATATGCTTTTAATTAATCTATTATTTATATTTATTTTATGTATTGTATTATATTGTATTATACTTACCTATCACCAATATTATAGCTGTTTTTTAACTCTTCATTTACGCAAAAGTTAATTAGAGATGATAGTAGTTTATTCATTGTTAGTATAAAAATTAATGAATAAAATTAACATTTCTTTTTTATAAATTGAATTTTTTAAACAAAATGTAAAAATTTTTTTTCAAAAAATTTTTTTTTTAAACCTTAAATTTGAAAAAATTTTTTTTTTTAAACCTTAAAATTGAAGAAATTTTTTTTTTTAACCCTTAAAGTTGAAGAAAAAAAAAATTTTCTTATAAATTTTTTCTTATAAATTTTTTTTAATAAATTTTAAAAAAAAAAAAAGCAAAATGTTTTTTTGTGATAATAAATAAAAAATATGATTTTGAGTTATAATAAATAAATATATTATTAAAGTTTATTTAAAATTTTATAGTTAATTTATTATTTATTATTTATATTCTTTGAGTTTTGGATTATGGAACGCAATATTACAAAATTCATGGCACTTTATAACATTCATATGAGATAATTTTGAATTTTTTATAATTTTTTTTTTTTTTACAAAAAAATTATACAAAAATAAATAAATTGTTGATGTGGTGTAGTTGTTGTTTCAAAAAAAAGGAATTATTCATTATTATTAATAATATTTTTTAAAAAAAATTTTTGAAAATTTGTGTTTGATTTATGTGATGATTTTGGATGGTAATTTTTGTTTTTATAGTTCTGGATTTTTGGTATGTTAAAAGTGTTATTTGGGTGACCAGACTTATTAAATTATGGAATACTTTTTGGGTATTCTGGATAAGTATTTTGAAGAGTATTTGGTGAATAAAATGGATTTTGGGTAGAATGTTGATTATATTGTGGTGGAATAATGCAATTATTAGTATCCAAGTTATCATCACCATTATTTTGATTATTATTTTTTTAAATTTTGTTTGTGAATGAATAAATAAAAGAGATACACCGATCAACTAGTGAGATCTCAATTAGATTTCGTCTACTTATAAAAGTTTTAAAAAATCAAAGAAAATTTTGGATTTATTTAAAACAGTTAATGAAAGTGTATGTGGTGATATATGTAGATTATATAAAAATCAACAAAAGTGTGTAAAAATAAAATGAATTGTATAAAAAGTGATAAATATCATTAAAAAAATGAATGATGTTGTAATTAGTGGTAATTAATTATGGTTAAAGATATGGTAATAATAACTATAATAAAAAGTGTTGATACACCAGTAGTATGTAAATTTTGTGTATCAAAAGCTCGATTAGCAAAGTTGGAATTGCGACAGCCTTCTAAGCTGTAGGTCCTGGGATCGAGACCCAGATTGAGCGAAAAAACATTAGATATTTTATATCTTCCCGGAGTTTATTTATAGTTTTTTTTTTGAGCATTATGAATTGATGTTACCCTGGAGGCAGAAAAATTACAGATAATACAATGACTGTAAACGAAATTATCAAATTTTGTATCAAAAACAAACTACCAGGAATCATTACTTTTTATGATTTTGAGAAAGCTTTTGACTCTATATCTCATGATGCCATTTACAGAACACTATTACACATTCAAGTACCAACCAAACTAACTAATCTTATTATGCAACTACTCACCAATTCCTTTGCAAAAATAGAAATAAATGGTAAAAATACTGATAAATTTATAATAGGACGAGGAGTAAAACAAGGAGATCCTTTATCACCGACTCTTTATGTAATGGTAATAGAAGCTTTAGCTAGATCAATACTAGAAGATAAATCAATAATTGGACTTCCTTTAGACAACACAAACAGAAGAATCAAATTTCAAGGTTTTGCAGATGATTCATCATCAATGGTTCATAACAACGACCAACTTAATTTGGTACTTCAACACTTCAATCAATTTTGCACAGCAACATCATCAAAACTAAATATAGATAAATCAGTTTCAATAACAATCAACAACCCAGACACAACAAATTCAGTTATTCCAATATCAAATAAACCAGAAAGATATTTAGGTTACTACTTCACAGGTACCGGAATCCATAGAAAACTACCAGAAATACTGAATTCTATAAGATCCTCGTTATCATTATGGAAAACAACAAGTAACTCAATTAAAACAAAAGTAAACATCCTCAAATCCTTTGCACTATCAAGAATAACATATTACTCGTATATTGAAGAATTCAACGATGATGAAATTAAAGAAATCAATAAAATTGCAGATTGGTTCCTATCAGCACCTAACAATAAAAGTCCAAATGGTTTTAAAGTCTTCAAATTAATGAGCTCTAAAAGAGCAAATTATCCTATGGATCAAGGAGGTTGGAATCTTTGGAATATCAAAAACAGACAAAAAGCACAAAGATTATGGATGATAAATCAAATAATCAATAAAATTGAAACTAACAAAATAGAATCAGAATATCAACACAGCTGGAAACATCAAATATCAACCAAAACAATAACTTCAGATTACCTATTTAAAAACTACAATGATTGGATACAAATAAAAGTTAAAAAAGGACTACTAGACGGGTTGAAATCCATTAAAAATAAAGACGGCAAACCTCTTTCTTTAGCAGAATGGTATTCGGAAATAAACAATCTCAACAGCTTTACACCCAAAACAGAATTCCAACAATGTCTTCAACTTACAGGTTATAGCTATATCAACTTATTCAATAATTTACTTAATATTAAAGATCCAAAATCAAGAAACACTCTATTCAAATTCCAAGCAAGATGCTTACCCATCAACTTCATTCACAACAAACCATGTAGACTATGTAATGAAAATCTTAATAATGATCCATATGGTCATCTATTTTTCAAATGTAAAAAAACTCTGAAATTCATCAACTTCAATAAACTAAAATCATTTATATTCATTACTTCGGGAAGGGGCCTCAATTGGTCACTGGACATAACAAGATCAAGAAGGAATATATCAATAAAAAATATTACATACAAAATCCCAGAAGGTCGCAAATCCGATGGAGAAATAAATATGGATTACAACAACACCAGATTCCACAAATCACACTTCCAATGGAACTATAAAGCAATAGATTTCGACTTAACTAGATGTTTCGCTTATAGAAATGCCATAGCCCTGGTATTTCATCATGTTTGGATTTGGTTATGTAAAGAATTATATGACGATCAAGAAAATACAATAAAAGAACTCGATTATAAGAATCTAACCTCAAAATGGACTAAACTAGCTACTTTAGAATACTTAAAAGGTTTAAAAAACATCAAGGAAAGACACGCTAAACAACCACAAACAATTAGCAACATCAATGAAGAATATAGAAAATTCAAAAGAAAAATAGCAAGAGCATACTTCATCAGCATCAAATCTTTACCAAATATCAACAGTTTAGAATATTTTCTTTAAATACTTTATAAAAAACATTAAATAAAATTTTACTGATTAATTAAAAGCATTGCTTTTTATTATCTTCACTTTTAAAAAAAAAAAAAAAAATGATGTTACCAAAACTCATGTATGTATTAAACATCTTACTGATTAATTTGGGGGAGCAATGATAGCCAAGTGGTCAAACGAATTTCCTACAAGTTACCCAGTCTCAAAAAGTTTTCCGAATCCCACACGAATTGACGTTACCGTGCCCAACTTGTATGCAGTGTGGTAAAACTCATATAAGCATTAAACACATACCAAACACAATAAACTGATGACTTAATATATCATTAAGAATCATCTTCACTTTTAAAAAAAAAAAAAAAAAAAAAAAAAAAAATACTGATAAATAAGGCATCAATATTTCCTTTATTATTTTTAATTTTCTTCACTTTAAAAAAAAATAAAAATAAAAAAGTTTATTGAGCTACTACCAATGATAGCATAGTGGTGGAATGTGTAATTAACAAAGATCAAATATTTTACTGATTAATTTAAAGCATTTGCTTTTAATTATCTTCACTTTTAAAAAAAAAAAAAAAAAAGATCAAATAATGATCAACAACAATTAATAATAATCAATTATTATTTTTTTAAGGACAAATTTTATTTGTTATTTTTTTATAGTTTAATTTAACCAATTTATATATTTATAGTCTTGATGATTTTTTAAAACATCAATTAAATAGTTTAATAATTGATCTTTGTTATCATCTATATTATTACCATTAATATTGATGTCTGCATTATTATTATTATTATTATTATTATTATTATTATTATTGTTATTGTCATTATTATTTATTAAATAGTTTTGATATAAGAGTTTTAAAAAATAAATTTTATTTTCTTTAATTGCTTCGTCTATAAGTGTCTTTGAGGGTTTTAAATTTGTAAATTTGTTGTAGGTTTTTAAAAGGAATAAATAAAAATCGAAAGGAAATGTTATGATGAGGTCATCCAAACTCTTATTTGAAATGAATTCTGTTATTTCTTTTGCTAAACCACCATAGTAAACTTGATGATACTTCAATACCAATGGTGTCTCATCTTCTTCATTGACTTCATTTAACCAACAATTAAAATCTTGACTGTTGTTTTTTTGATCTTTTGGTAGTTTTTCATATTTTTCAAGTTCCGATAGATATTTAATTTGAAACTCTGTCAAATTTAATTTCTCTGGGAATTTAAAGAGTATGTCTGTTACTCCACTTTGATGTGCCATATAAAATAGTCCTGGTGAGAGTTTTAAAAATTTAAATTGTTCTAAATCTTGAATAAATCGAAACTCGTTTATAAATAAATCGACTTCTTTTATATCTAAAAAGAATTTTAAATTATAGTTTATTGATTTCAGAACATCCTCATGGTTGGGTGTACCATGTATTATAATACAAGAATATACAATGATTACTGATATTTGATTAATAATTTGTAATAGCAATGGGTTTATGGATGATTGTTGGATTTGGAGTGTTGATAAAAGTGGTGGTTGTGATGTTGATGATACTGATGCGTCTGTTGTTGCTATTGTTTCTGTTGTTGGTGATATTTTTCTTGCAAAAAAATAATTACAGTAGTAGTTGATTTCTTTATTAAATATTAATTCAAATGTAAATGTTTTAGAATCTAAATATTTAATAATGTCATGGTTTAATGCTACATTAACCAAATCATTTGTATTTTCATAGTCATCTGGAATTTCATAGAATTGATTTAAAAGTAGTTTTTCTTTAAAAGATGGTGAGCCTACCAAATATTTTATAAATACTGGTGATTTAATTGAAAGATAATAAACTGTGTGATATTTGGAATGTTTAATTTCGATATTATTTAATTTTAAAACCTGATAGATATACATTAATTTTTCTATTGGGATGTTATTAACTTGAATTAATATTTTATATAAATAATTAATAAGTATTAAAATTATTTTTGCTGTGGTATTGTTATCTATATTATTACTATTATCTTTGTTATTAATATTATTACTATTATTAAAATTTATTAACAGCTCTATTATTGAAATTATTTTACTATATGGTAATGTTGATACTACTAAATCGAAAGACACCATGTCTATGTTTCTATTAAAAATTCTATTTTGATTTATTGGAGTTGTACTTTCCCAATACTGTATAAATAATTCAGGGTCCTGTGCTATAGGATTAAAGCTAGTATTATTTAAAAAGAATTGAATTGTGGAAACTGATAAAACATTAATAGAATAACAAAAAACTTGTACCATTGTAATTGAAATATCATTAACATTTTTCAATATTTTGATATTATAAGCTAAAGTTTCCCATGATTGTGGTGATATTAATTCTAAACAATTGACTACACCCGCTGAATATTTTTCTAAAATGAAAAATTCGATAATTTTGAATAGTTGAATATCATCTCCTGTTTTATTGACGTGTGCTTTATATTCTTTTTCAATACTAGTATTAAATAGTTTATGTCCAAAAATTGCTTTAACTTTATCTAAATCACAATTTTCTATTGCTTCTTTTAGTGGGTACTTGAGTGGGCTACAAAGTGACTTTCCAAGACTTTCAATTAAATCCAAGTTTGAATATTCCAGTGATTTTGCGATGGAAAGCTCACTATCTTTTAATAAACTAATGACCAAATGATCCCTGACTACTAAAAGCTCTGACTCTCTTGTTGTTTTTGATTCTTCGAATAGTGCACGATAGAGAAGAACCTCTTTACTGTTGTTTGATGATGGAATTGATTGAATGATATCTTTGAGTGAATCTAATTTTGTAGTTTCTTTGGCATCTAAACAACTTTCAAAAAACCTGTATATAAAATTTTCAATGTGTATTTTCTTTTCGAAATACTGAAATTCTTCTTTTCCCTCGATGAATGAATAGTATAGTTTTATAAACTCTGGTTGAATGTTATAAAAAACTTCTTTTTCTAAACGTTTACGTTTAACTATTTTCTTTATATCATATGGATTATTTATTAAAAATGACTTTAAATTTTCAGAGTTGAGGAGTAAACCTGAATATTCATATATTTGTTCATTTTTATATATACGATATAATTTCTTAAGCCTTTCAATACCATTTTTGCTGTGTATTATTCTTAATGTAAATGGATCCATAGAGCTATGAAAACCCAAGTCCAATAGTTTATTTATTATTTCAATAGAATTGACTTTATGTAAAATATCTTCAATATTTATTTTAATATTTTCACCTGAAAGAACAAATGATTTATTATTATTATTATTATTATTATTATTATCATTATTATTATTAATATTGTTATTATTATTATCATTCAATATCGAATAAAAATAATCACTA